CTGCAAAACAACATGCAAATGATCATGCAGCAGCCCTCCACCAATAGGAGCATGGCACAAATGCTATTGTAATCAGCACCTTCTTCACAGCCCCCAGTGGCACAGTGGTATGTTTGCAGACTTAGAACACTAGAATCCGGGTTTTGATACCCGTGGTGGGCAGAGCACAGATAACCTATTGTGTAGCTTTGTGCTTAATTACAAACAAACAAACCTTCTTCACATTTGCATTCGTTAATCAATTTTCGATTGGCAATAGTACTGTGCAGATGTGCTGGCTTTTGCTCGTGGATTTGTCAACATTTTCCTTTATACTAGAGGCATGGTTTTTCTTTTATTTAAATTTTTACATTTTGGAATTGTGCAAGATTGATTTTTCCAATTTTTCTTACTTTTTCAGGGGCCTTTGTGGTTAGTGTATTGTGGATCCCATTCTGTGGCAAGTGGTGCCTGACCAGGTATACTTTTTTTTTTTTTTGAAAATCCACACTGTCCATCCTGTGACCATGTATCCCTTCCTACTGCAGACCTGATGTACAATAACAGGTGCTGCCAGGTGTTGGTTGTGTGTCTCTATTCTATTGTCATCTATGCCTAAACAATTATGTTGCAGGATTGGGTTATGCACACCATAGAGATGAGGTGTTCTGTAGAACTGCTAGTAGTTCTCTAGTGATTTTTTGCTTCATAAATATGTTCATCCCTTATAATTTCTCCCCAGTTTTATAAATCACTGATTTAATACTGATGAGTGTCTATAAAGTTGGTAAGAGTTATTGAAAAATAAAGCAAACAGATTTAATCATAAGGTTCTTATTTTATGGTTGTAGGTGGAATTAAAGTAAAACCAACAAAGATAATTTTTTATTATAAAATTTGAAATAATAAGAGATGGTATTAAGTAAATTGCAGATGTACCAAATATTCTTTGGAGATCAAGGACAAATAATAAACAAAATATATTCACTGGACTAGAAATATGAAAGACATAGAAGTTCAGCAAAATTGATTTGTTTTTATTTTTTTTAATTAAATTTGGCAAAAGTAGAAGAAGTAAAAGTTATTGTTGAATAAAATTTTTTGGAAGTTAATTTTGTTTAATACAGAAAATAAAAGGTTAATGTTTCACAAAATGTATGTGTGCATTGATAATTTTGTGACTTTATTAATCTATATAAACACTTTGTTATGGTATAATAGTTAAACCTACAGTTGCATTTTAATATAATTGCTGTTTATGCTTCAGAATTTTACATTAATTGCTTTGAAGATCTTCAACACCCAACAAATTTGCTATAAGTATTATGTTACTTTTGATTTAAAAAAAAATATATATATATAGGAACTGTATGCATGAAAGTATTTGTTACATAGATTAATAATAAATAAAATTATAGTTGGACATATATATATATAGGAACTGTATGCATGAAAGTATTTGTTACATAGATTAATAATAAATAAAATTCCTATATGATATCTTACCTCCTCTCACAAGAAGCTTTCTTGACTTGCACTGCCCTCTATTTGTGCAAATATTTTCTCACCACTAGCCTTGTTACTTCCACTTATAACTGCAAACTAACATGCAAGTGATCATACAGCAACCCTCCCCAGGTAGGAGTATGACACTACCCTTATTGTAACTAGTGCCTTCTCTAATCATACACATGTTAATCACTTCTCGATTGGCAGTCCTACTGATTAGATCTGTTTTTTCTCTCGCAGGTTAAGTAACCTATCCATGCATTTTAAATTTAGTGAATTTCTCCTTCAGTTAATTTATTCTACATTTTCGTTCTGTTTCTTGGAGAGTTACATTTATTTTATCTTCTCTCCTCTTTCAATTTCAGGAGTTATGCACTTGTAGTGTTGGGTGGTCACAACTATGACTGCTCTTACTGCGGCAGCAGAATTCCTGATCATGTCTAAAGGATTTACACCATGATTCTCAGCCTATGAAATGATGGCTCTGGTCTGTTCGGAGTTGACCACTTTCATGCTACAATCAGAACACATTGATGATTGTCCTAACAAGGTTTTCAGTGATCTTTTAGTTTTGGACACTCTTGATTATGCCTCTTAGTCATGTGTCATTTTGGGGGAATTGCCCAGACCTTTTTTCCCTTTGGTGGATTTGTTATTCAGGTATGTTATGCTTTGTACTTATCTCCCATTTCTTATGTTCCATTCCTGCCTTTCTAAAATGTTCCAATCCCACCACCTCATTTGTCAGGTCAGGGCTCTCCAAGGATATATTACACGTACTACTCCCTTCCATGGGTCCTGAGTCTATTTGTTTCTTCCATGAAATCGTCACCTTTCCCGTGACCTTTTGCCATCACCCTTCTGGGTTGAAATTGCTAGTTCATTCACCTGGTGTTTTCTTCCCTTTCTCCTGATGATTGTAGCCTTTTCATAGTTTCTTCCCATCAGATCCATCACCTTACCATATCCTTGGCTGCACATTTCCATCTTCCCTTGGGGGACATCATCAGTTGTGTAACAGTTTATCTGTGGTGGTAAGTACTTCGTTCATTTTTCTTTTCTTTGCAGAGACCTTTATCACATATTTGGCTCCCACTCTGTGGCGAGTGTTACTTAATCAAGTATACTTAGTCTTAAATCCACACTGTACGACTTGTGTATATGCTAGATGACTGTGATGTTGAGACTCTTCCTATTGCAGACCTAATGTACCATTACAGATGCTGCCAGGTGTTGGTTAATTGACTCCACCCAATATGTTCTCTATGCATCAATATATAATGTAGAAAAAGAGACAAAATAACATATTACAAGGTCATTTTTTGCCCACCATTGAGATGGAGCATTCCACTGGACTGCTCGTAAGTGTACCTCACAGTCTTTTGCTTCATAAATATGTTCATACTGCACCGCACACTCATGGACTAACATAAGTAAAGCAGACAGGGATTGCTGACCATCTCTGATCATTTGTGGTGTTTGATTCTCATCCTACTGCGAACCTGACATACAATTCCAGTTGCTGCCAGGTGTTGGATGAAGCACTCCATCAACGTGATCACTTTTCAAGTAGAGTATCTAGATCACTCATTCACTGTCTCCATGCTGCATTTCTCTGGACTCTCCAATGCATTATTACCCTCCTCCTCCTAGTGGAGTATGGGAGTCCTTGCCACTTACCACTTCCTAGCCACTGTGGTGGTGGACCATGGAGGCCTGTTCTCCTGAGTGTGCACAATACCACTCAGTTTGTGAGTATGGTGGTGACATTCTGTTAGTGTAAATGGTGTGATGTCTTTTCTACCATGCACCTGATGTACAATTCCACATGCCAACAAGTATTGGATGTAGCACTCTGCCATATATGTATATATATTTAACTGACAAGTTAACAAAAAATGCAGTTTGCCCCTCCGGCTGAGATATTCCTCCTTCCAACCATCCTCTGGATGTAGGTTCCTGGGGATCAGGTGTTGGTTGGAGATTGTCCAGCCACATAAGTACTCACGTATGTTTGGCTGGTACCCTCCTCCTACTGTGGACTGGATGATAAATTCCCTGGTTTTGGACTGGAGATGCCATCCCAAAATCGTGATCTCTCTTTCTACCATCCGCTGAGTGTCTGATCCTGGTGGATCTGGTGTTGGTTGTTACTGGATGAGACATGTCTTCCCACTTGTGTAAGGCTGGGTACTCTCCTCCTACTACAGACTGGATACCTAAATTCCCAATACCATCGGGTTTTGGACCGGAGATGAACACCAACCTAAGTTCTCCTCCTTCATACCATCTGCCAGATGTCTGTTCTCAGTGGATCTGGTGTTGGTTGTGTTGGAGGTGTGCGCATGCGGAGATGGGTTCTTGGTACAGGAACTCCTCTTCCCTGCCAGTACCCATTTTTCAGGTGAAAGGTGGAGGATTCTCTTCCTACCATGGACCTGATATACAATTCCAGATGATGCCAGGTTTTTGTTGAGGTTGAACTCCTATTTACGCTCTGTTGTGCCCTAGCCACACTACACCAAGTTGTTGCTTTTTGTGTTTTGGTGACAATACTACAGGGCAAAGAGTATACCTTAAAAGTATGGTAGGTCTATATTATCCTGTGGTTCTTTGCTTCTTAACAGAAAGTAAGAATACTTTATGTTCTCAAATAGTCTGTTCATACATTGTTTATTTCTTTCTTTGAGCACAAACTTAGGTTGATGGGAATCTGAGTTAACCTTCCTGCAATTTGGATAAATTCACTTAATAACTGGAAACTCAGCCAAGATATGAATTACTAAATGATAATGAAGCTATGAATGGCTGAGTCATGATGTTAAATGGTATAATGAAACTATACAAAAAGTCTTTATTAAAACACTGCACACAAACAGTGTTTGTGTGTATATACTTATTTTATACTATCATGGACTGTCACTTTTACTGGAGTCTTTGAACTATTTATTTTTTAAGATCCTCTTCTAGACTGGCTATATCCAACATTCCTTAGTTTGTAAAAAAAACATTGCATCCAATTAGGACAAGGCATCCATTTTCATTTCACCATAAATTAAGAGCAATTGTAATACAGTAGTAGTAATACATTATAGGTCAAAATGTTGAAAAACTTGGTAGATTGCAGATGCATTTATTCAATCTAACCTAGTGTCAAACATATCAAGTCTATGTCATACCCATTAACAATAACTGGCATTATTTGGTACATTATAAAGTCAGTGATTATTTTTACTTACATGTTGCTTTTGGAAATAAGTGCAGATAGATTTTTACTTTTCAATTGGACAAGACACAGGGATTTGGTTTTTAAGATCCTGAGGTGAGGGACTGGCTGTAGACACTCTTGTTACCTTTTAAACTATAGCTATGAAAATAGAGCATTGAAGGTGATCAAACACATGTTACAGTGTAAAGTAGGAGAACTGTGAAGAACATGTGTAAAGTGCATATTCTGAGCTAATGGGAACATGTTTGCATGAAAATGGTTAAAATATGTTGTTGTTTTTCAGATCTATGCCCACAAAACCAACTGTCAAGAGTGTGAACTTGCATTCTTCTTTACTGGAATGTTTAAGTTGGACATGATATGGAAGAAATGGTAGCTGTGGCAGCCTCAGCCACTGAAGAAATTGTCATCCACCATGTTGAAAGATCCTCCAACAAGGCCAACTCAGTAGTGGTAGGATTTAGGTGACAAAATCTAAGTCTATTTTTTAAAGACATCTACTTTTAAAAATTCAATGGTGTTTCCTAAAAACTCATTCATTGTGACCTGCAATTCTGCAGGAATTAGCACTGGACCAAATAAAGTAGCAGCTTGCAAAAACAGAAGTGTGACATGTTATGTTCCACGTTGTGATAGAACATATGGTATTGGAAGACTGACAACCTACTGATGGTTTTTCATATCTCATTTGCTAGAAATTAATAATAGGTGGCATACTTTTTAACTATGCCAAAGTTAGTACCAAGAAACTCATTAAAAGCAACAAAGTTTTATTATAAACATAATTCTTTTAAAGAACTTCATATTTTCTTTATACTGAGTACCTGAAGAGATTAATAACCATCACAGAAATAGAAAAACAGAGTTGAGATTATGTGAAAAAATCTTCCTATTTTTGAAATAAGCTCAGTGCTGTCATTTAGTTTTTTAAGGGTCAACTCATATCCATACCTTCCATTGGCTTAGATAGACAAATTGTGAAACGGTTGTTACTTTAAAGGACCTATGCTGTTAGTTGAATTTGTTGGGTGTTAGAATAGGACTCTGTTATTCTATATTTATGTATATAAAGAAAGTACATTTGAGCTGGTTTTAATGAAAGGTGACTGCGATTGCATACATAATGTAAAAAAAAAAAAATATGCCTTTATTGTAAGTATTAAAGCATAATACTTGTTTATATTTTTGTTCTCATTGCAATTCATGCTTTGTTCAGTGTTTACAATATATAATGAAAAGTGACAGACACTTATAATATTAATGGAACAGAAATTTAATAAATAAAATACATAACTTGTTACTTTGTTGGATATTTTCTATAAAATCACAATGTTCTTTGAAGTGTATTTAATTTTTATGTATACACTCCAAGTTCCCAACAGCTTTGAAGGCATGACTCTTGAAAACTCATAAATTTGTATCATTTATTGAATAAAAAAATGGCCACTAAGATACAAGTTTTTAATGGTCTACGTGTAGACCCAATTGTCTTTTTAAACACTTTTTTTTTAAACTGTTTGTCTATATAGTATTATTAATGTGTTCATGACTTTGTTGGTTACATGGTCCCTAATAATTCATGAACTGCACAGAAAGTGAATGTGTTATTCTGGTGGTTTTAAGTGGAGTTAATAAAGAAGTAGACATTTAGTGCTCGACCTTCAAAATGATATGGTACAAATTATGAAACACCTTTGTTAACAATAAAGTATCACATCTGTGAAATGTATATGTAGCAAGAACACTATTTAACCTAAAGATATCTATTCACTTTCTTCCCGATTTAGTGAAGCATAATGTTTTATATTTTTGTGTTATAGAACTTCCACTATGTACAAGCATATATATGTTTACAAAATTACATATCAATGCTGTATAAAGAATAGTCCCATGTCCTGAAGATGGAGAACTTTTAAAAGTCATCTGCAACATTTGTGTTTTGTTATACAACAGGCAGTTGCTACCCATTCCAATGTACTCGTCAAGATATTAGGCAGGTGGTTGCACTGCTTATGTGGGGATGACTCCAATTGTTCATCAAAATGGTATTTTAAATATCTTTTCAATAGATCATCAGAATTTTACAATACTATACAGTGTTATCTTTTATAATAATATCTATGTCACAAGTTTTAGGAATGTCTATAAATATCATAGCAAAAAAGTTTGAATTTCTTATTCTTTTTTCTTCTGCATCTTTGTTATCACATGATGACTCAAAAACCAAAACAATAGTGTCAGCCAATTTCATTGAGGTGACATAGTTTCAAACAGAGTGTCTGCTTTAATAAGTATTATTAATAACTAGTAGTAATTTAAAAAAAATCATAATTCTAGTGTAAATTATATTATCATTACTCCTTGAAGTTACTTTTTAAAAAAATTTGGTGTTCCTTTAAAAAGCTTAAGTACAGGGTGAAACAGGAATTACCAGCCAGTAGTAGATAAACAGTAAATATTCCAGTTGGAACCTCAATGTATTTAGATCTTGGTTATAAATACAACCTTTCTATGTCTACTGAAACACTGCATTAAAAAACAAAGCAGACAAGTAAAGAAAAAACTTTTCAAAAAAAGGAAGTAAATGGATGGATGGCTATTATCAATCCTTAAAGAACAATGCAAACAAGATAGTGAGGATGGCATTTGCATCATCCCTACATGCACAGGCAAGAAGTAACATATAGTAATACATGTAACTATTCAATCACAATTGAGTTTCTCGTATTTTTGTCTGTTCAGATTCTACTACACTATGTGCCTATGCTGTTATGTAGGGATGATGCAAATGCCATCCTACTAACTTGTTTGCATTCTTTTTGGAGGATTGATATTAGCTACCCTACATTTATTTACTTTTTTTGAAAAGTTTTTTCTTTACTTCTTTTTAACACATTTTTGTTATAACCTTGTATCAGCAATATGTTCTTATACCTAATATTATGCCAATTCATGTTCTTAGGTAAGTTTACTGGTGCTTCTAACAAGGAAAGTTAAACGTGAATTATAAATATAGCATTTAATTCAACTGCATGTAAAATACCTCACGGCTTGATGTTTAGCAGGCTAACAGCTGAACTACTGTTACCTGTAGTAGTCTTGAGAGATCTATAGTATAATTCACTTCATAATTAACACTGGTGTTTGTTGTTTGTATCTGATGTAAGGACATTTGAGTTTTTATTTATTATTTTACTGTTTTGTAATTAAGCTGTGAAATAATTGTTGACAGCTTCATATTTAATGTCTAAAATACTTTTACTAAAAACTGAACATACTTAACGATATTGGTCAATGTATCCTTTACAGAATTAGATAGTATCTAGTTTTACATAACTACCCCCTAACCAATGATAATGGGTCTATAGTGATTTTAGTTCCACAAGTAATAAAAATAATTTTGCAAAGAATTAAGTATGATGTAGGGATGGCAGTGCCAAAAAGTACAGAAACAAGGTAGGGATGAATACACAAAATCATCCAAAAATCCCTGCATAAGTATCCAGTAAGTACTAAGTCAATCTTACAAGCTTATGGTTATTAGTCACTATAAGACTGTATATCGCTATTCAACTTAAATGCTTTTATTCAAACCTGAATACATGCAACTGACAGGAATTCAACATTCATGAGTAATGCAGAAGGACCATTTGATTGAATAACTTGTGGTAGGTCTGCTGTTCAAAATAGAGAATTGTGGAAACCCATTGTACTGTCTTCAGTGTGGCATTTCTCCAGACTCCCCACCACATTTCCTCCACTTTATTTTCTTGTGTAGCACGGGAGTCCTAATTAGTTACTAGGGTGGTAGACCATGGAGGTTTCCTCCTGAGTGAGTTTAGAAATTAATTTTACAATGCATACTCATGATTATCTATCTCATTTACCCTGGATGTTTTTTCTCAGGTGGAGAGTAATAGACAGAGTAATAAATTAATCAGTTGGAGCAGGTCTAGCCTATGCAGGATCTTCCTCATAATGCTGGGTTCAGGATGACAACACCTTCTTCCTATGGTGGAGTGCAGTAGATGCCTCTCTTCTCTTTAATTCTGGTTGCAGAAGGTTCTTTCCCTGCTTTTGTAGTTGATTTTTGGAGACTTCATCTGCCTAATAGTACTGGCAACTGAATGTCTGCACTCTGTTTGTACAATTAGGGGATTGTTCCATGTCCTCCTGGATACAAGATGTCACTGCCCTGCATTTACGGTTGAGTGAGTTATGATTTTGACCATAACATGGGTTACAGCTTTATCCTGTGCTTGCGGTTGTGTTGAGGCAATGCCATGACCCCATAATTCCAGGTTCAGTTTGTTGTACTTCTTGCTCTTACTAGTTGTTTTGGGAGTTTGCCTGGTTATGACCAAAAGCTCACTTCTTCTTCATAATTCTTGTTGCTTGACATAGGACACTTTGTTTACTTATGGTTGGAGTTTTTGGGTGTATATAACATGGTTCACATGCCCTAGCCACAATGCTGTTATTAAAATTTTTTTTTCATCCTCAACCTCCTAATGCCGAGGATGAGTTATGGAACCTCGTCTGTCTGGTTGAGGTTAAGAATGTACATAACTGACTTCACTTATGTTACTATAGGCTGCAGCTATCAAACCACATTCCATTTGGACAAGTAACTTCCTTTTCCACCAATTTTGGATTCATTTCCTACTTCCTGGGTGAAGAGCATATATGTTCCAGAAGTAGTGCGGTGCCTCAAAAGTGTGGTCCGTTTTTATTACTGGACACATTTGTTTGTTCTGGCCAGATGCTTTCCGATTGGTTTCACTTTTGTGTGCCTACACTGGTCCCTCCACTTTTGCAATATGGGATTCTAGCTTTGTGTGAAAGAGATAAGACCGTATCGGAAGTTAACATTTTTCTTAGACTGAAAGTGTATTTCCTCATCTCACACACTTTCCACCCTGCCTCCCCACTGCCGGTATTTTTATTTTGGTACTTGCCACTTCTCGAAAGTGAGGATTGAGTGGGAATAGCAGAGGGAGTTAGCTGTGCTAATATCGATAGCACAATGCTATTGGTGGAAAGTAGTCACATGATATGTACATGTTCAGAAATGACGCGAAACTGATGGGATATAAAGACTGGTGTGATGTTTGCAAAAATATTTTTAGCATCCTTAAAGGGCAAACAAGGATCGGGATAGCTTTGTGTGAGAACATGTTCAGAAATGACGCGAAACCGATGGGTATAAAGACTGATGTGCTGATTGCGAAAATATTTTTAGCAATGCATAGAGGGCAGACAAGGATCGAGATAGCTTTGTTTGATGGGAGGTATATTTTCAGTGCAAGAAAAATGTTAACTTTTGTGGTGTTTTGCCTCTGACAGAAAGTTAGTGTATTCTATGAATGTGTGTAATAAAACTTAATTTTATGTGTATATATTTTGTTTTTACTCCTTCACTTCATACGTAATATAGGGGTTGGCTCCCTAAAGACACCGATTGTCTAGTGAACAAAGCATTGAGTATTCTACATGTTACAGTCGTATAATGTTCATCTATTATTGACTGGTAATTCCTATTTCACCCTGTACTCAAGCTTTTTAAAGGAACACAATATTTCTATAAGAATATATATTCCACTTTAAGTTTAATAAATAATTCGTATTAAAATTGAAACTAAACATAAAGTATTAATAATTCATTCCTACTGACGAGTCCAAGCTGATACTTGTCTCAAGATAAAATTCAATAAACTTTCGAAATATATATGAAAACTAAATCACTATATTACCTTTCTTTTAAAGTACAGTCGAAGTAAAACTTTAATATCACCGTATTTATAATTTAATCTAATAATTTCAGCAGTTTTATTCAGGGTATTTTTTATCATTACAAATCTTTACACAAAGTTTTTGTTTGTTTTTCACAATTTAATATTGTATCTTTTGAATTGAAGTAATGTTTGTACTCCATAATCTACGCCCTTAAAACTACGCATGTTATGTAGTTTCTTAGCTACTCTTTTGTATTGTTGAAACGTAGGTTTAAATGAAAAATATACATATATTGTCTGGATGGGGACCCTCCTGTTGTCCGGAGGTTTATCGGTTAAGGTCCATTAGTCCGAACAACCATAAACACAATCTGAACAGGAAAAACATGTACAACCTAACAAATAAGTAAAACTAAAATACGTGTATTATGGATTTATAGATTTGATTTTATACATTTTAGAATGTATTTTCCTTTAAAAGTGACAAAATTAAGGCATTAGGAGAATAATTTTCTCTGTTTCCGTGCTTGTTATGGTAGAAATCCATCATGACTCTAAAATCAGTTTTTATAAACTTGAAACTTATACAATATGAACTTCTTATTTGTATGTTTTTGGTGATGATAAAGATATACATTAAAAAAGAAAAAGACTGACATGTTTCCTTCCGTGACCAAAGATTTTCTGACGTTTTGTTCCTTGCTACCGTTAAATT